AGAATGTAGATTTTTATGAGAAACCTAAAGCCTGGTTCACACGGCAGGATAATTAGGCCAATTTAACGACAATCTTCAGAACGCTCCGATTATCGTGAAAAAAATCTGATGGATTTTCCTGTCATGTGTGGTGTGTTCGACGCTCAGAAGGACTTCGGGACTGCTCCGATCTCAAATCGGGGATATCCAACATGTTGGATTTTTTTGGCCCAATTTCTCTTTGTGTGTGGTGTCCCCCGGGGACAGACGAGCACGCTGCCAGTGGACTGCGGCGTGTAGCCAGAAGACGAGGTGACGAGGCGATGAGGAAACACCGTAAAAAAATCATAACAGTCAGCGGCATTGCGCATAAATACAAATAGTCCATGCTAGCATTGTCTCCACTTCTTTGACCATCGCCTTTTCCTTTGATAACACTTTTTTTCTGTTGAAAACCAACTGCAAACAATCGCCACTGCATTCTCTTCATCCTCCATCATTGTTTACTCTAAAGTCACGCTTGATCTCGAGAGATTTTGTGAGATTTCCGTCTGACCTGGGGGTGAAATCGATTCGTGTGTAGTTTGCATGATTTTGCCGTGTGGCTGCGCACCACACACTGTATGACCAAAGTGGTTAGACCCTTGATTTTTTATCTCCGTGTGTGAGGTCTCTCAGGTTAGGAAAATCAGCCGACGATTTTAAAATCGTCTCGTGTGAAGCAGGCTTAAGTTTGTCTTGTATAGTCAGCAGTACCACAGGATTCCCCAGAGCACGTAGGTCCTTCAGCAATAAGCTAGATCCATGCTCCCCCTCACAGCTTTTTGTTTCTAATGTTAAGGCACCAGTTAGACCTGCCCCCACAGGCTCCTGATTGGATGCAACGAATTGAAATCCTTGATAGATAGTTGAGGCTTCTCAGCATTGATCTGAATACTCTCCTCTTCTCTTCCTGGTGATGCTCATTCCAAGGGGACTGTTTCGTAGTCTATTTATCATGACAAAAAGAGAGAGACAATAAATGATATATGCTAATAAAGCATTCAGCATTTCACTTTGGACTATAGCAGAAAAAATGATCTGAACCAAGTGGCTACATCACCTCTGCTGCTGTGAATTAAAGTGCTATTACTTTTTATTACTATTGTTAGATACTTTACTTAGATAATTTTTCTGGATGGATGTGTTTCTTCTGCTACTGGACACCTGAATTTCTCTACTCAAATGGTCCACTCTATACAACAGCAACAGTGGTCCCAAACTTGAAACCAGAAATTGCTGATGAGCTAACAGCGCTAATATCTTCACGAGGCACATTCCAAAAGAGCGCGTTATCAGTAATGATCCTAATAAAATCCATTTGACTTTCGCTCCTGTTAATCCATCACAATTAGACCCAACTTGATCGACGACCCCTTTTTCTCCGGACGGTATCGCAACATATGCAAAAAAAAGTGGGCCAAGCGGTCGTCCCACGCGTCTGACCTGGTGCTGGTCCATTTTTTTTGCCTCGCTCCTATCGGCCGGCCAGCCTCTTCCAAATGCCTCATTAAATCCGCCGCTATTCATTTGGGCCTGATGTGTTTTTAATTGGATTACAGGGGAGGAGTGCGAGGTCGGTTGGAGAGCAGGGAGGCGGGCCAAAGGGTGACAGTATGGGGACACAGAGCGGGTGTGTGTGTGTGTGTGTTGGTCTGTCGTGAATGGCTGTGGTTCCAATATCAAAGGGTCATAGGTTGAGTTAATGTGTAGCTTTGTAGATTCCTGTGACATGTGCTGTTTGCGTTGTACGTGTAACTCTCATTTTGGCGAATGTTTTAATAAAGGAAAAATAAGTCACATCCTACTATACCACGCAGTCTCTTCTGGAGTAGGCGTTGGTTCTAAGACCACTTGTAGTCTTAGGCTTGAAAAAGACAGATACAAGAGGTGGTGGGGCTAGTCCTTGTAGCGCTTTGTAAATGAAAAATGTTTCAATTAACTTTCAATTAAAAACAAATTAAAATATTACACATATGAAATGAAATGGGTTTTCAGTCAAAAACATAGGTATTAATTCAATTATTTTCCAATTGGTGCATGCGGCAAGAGATGCGAGAGTCAATGTGGGATAAAACCATTGAATATATAGTAGGTAAGTAATGTTTATTTATATAGCGCAATTTACAGACCAAGGTTACCCAAAGCGCTTTACAATGTTCAGAGTTCAGATATTGTTCCAACCATTCCACACACGGTGATGACGGAAGCGAGTCGCCGAACACACTGGACCATCAGCCCCCAATCAGCACCATCCATTCACTCTCATCTACATTCAGACCTATTCAGAATTATTTACTAAAAATAACTTAAATTATGCTTATTTTTGCTTAATTCTTTTGTTTGAATTTAGATTGTCATGTAGGATTATTTCACTAGTTATGAAGTACTGTATTATCTTAAATTTGAGATAATACAGTACTTCATAATTTTATTAGTGCAAAAAAAGTCTGAGCAGTGAGTTTTTTTGTGAAAAGTATTTTTTTCTTGTTCCCAGCCAACTTTTCTTTTTTAGATAAAATAAGTATGTTTTGCTATAAACCAGATGCTATATAGCCCCCGACCCAGAAATGGATTAAGGGGAAGAAAATGGATGGATGTTATGCTATATTATAAGACAACATTTCTTAAAGATTCAGAAAGAAGTGAATTACACTTGAAATATGTTTTTTTTTCTAGAATCAAGACATTTGGGGCTAGTAGTAATTTGTTATTTTTCAGAAATCTTGTCCAGTCATATTTTCATCCTTTATTGGCTGATATGTTATTTTAAACAGTAATTAAACAGTAATTTACTTTATTATTATTTTCTTTTTTTTCAATGGATTTTTTCCATTGTAGGTTCCTTCCTCCATTTTCGACTATGTTATTGACCCTATGTCTCTGAATTAAACTAGTCTTTTAAAACCAACAGCGATTAAACACACCATGTTTGTTACCCACATTAGTCTCCTCCATCCACACTCTCCCGTATTCACATAATCTCCTAAAAGTTTAATTTCATTGTTCAGCGCTTCATGGCATACGTCTCCAATCTCATCTCATCACAAAAATAATAGACATCGATGGGCCATTTGACTCACATTAATATATCCAGCGTGAACAACTTATAATGATACTGCTGGGTCTAAATGCAGTGAGCGGAGAAATCTAAATCCAGACAGAAAGCCTTTTTTGTTCATGCTGTTAAAGAAGCGCTGTTTAGAATGTCTCACCGTAACATTGAAACTGTATGTGATTAATTGACTGAGCAAAGATAGTGGTTTATCGTCCAAAAAACCCGCGGTCGCCTTTTCCCAACACTGGGCTGGTGTGTGTTGGAACGACTCGGCATCCAACCCGCCTTGCGACCTAGACTTTTTGCCGAGCTGAGTTAATGTGCACAACAAATGATAAAATATGAGGTAATATTTTCTTGTTTAGTCGTGAGTCAGAATGTGCTCAATTAAGATACAGTTTGCTCAATTTGGGCCATTTTTAACTTAATTTTCATCACTTTTTGCAGTGTATACAGCACAGCAAAAAGCACAGCTGTCTTCCAGGGCGTTGCTTTACCACGATCAGATTAGAGGTTAGAAATGATATGGTATGGTATGGTTTTTATGTTTACAGGGACAGTGTACAATAAACATTAGCCAGAAGGAGAGATGCATTGTACCAGGTTGTAGCAGCAGTGCTAATTTACACCTGTAGTCCCTGAGCAGGTTAGAAATCTGTACATAAGTCAAATATTGGAGAGTTTTTGCATAATGGCAGTGTAACGAGCCGTGTTTGGGTGAGTAAAGGTCTGACGCCATAGTTTGGGTTGTTGCACACACTGCTATTTCAGCGAGACTTAAAACCCGGGGGGACAGGGCCTTCTCTGGGGCTGGACCAAAGCTGTGGAACGCTCTGCTAAACTATATTCAAACTGCTCCGTCTGTGGAGTGTTTTAAGTCTCGTCTTTAGACCCATTTATTTTTTTTTTTTTTTTTGATCAAGTATTTATTGTGTTGCGCTGCAAACAGAGATGACAATGGTCACGGAACAGAAAACAAATGCGCAAACATTTTACATTTTTGTCCCCTCCCTCCCATGGGTCCACCCATCCCAACATAAATACACAAACACACACACACACACGCACACACCCAGCCCCGCTAACCCCCCACCCCATTCTCCAGGCATCAATAACATTTCATTATTTACAGACACATAATATGGCAAACTTCCTCCGTTATGAACATCCACAGAAGCCGCAGTGTTTACATAGTCTTATGTAAACAATAATAAACAAACAAAAAAAATGGGTCTTTAGACCCATTTTTATATTATTTTTATATGTATACACATTTGCACACACCGTTTATCATATTTGATTTCCAGTGATTTTACTGTTTTACTATGGATTTGTTGTAATTAGTATTTTATTGTGCAGCACTTTGGAAACTGTGTGTGTGAAATGTGCTATATAAATAAAGTGGATTGGATTGGATTGAAAGTGGGTTGGATTATAAAGTTGGGCTTTCTACAAAATATGTTTCAAATGTTTCAAGTAAACTCGCTGTAGTCCATTATACTGCAATCCCCTTTGGTCCTGGCCACGCTCTGTGACTTTAGAAGACTTAGCCGACACCAAACAAGTGTGTTTCCATGGTAACTAGCACTTGCTCCTCTCTGGAAAACCAAGTCCAAGACCAAGACCAGCTGTTTTGAGAAAGACTGAAAATGGCCACATTGGACTTTTTGGATCGTAAGATAATGATTTAAGAGATTCAGTTAATTTCACACAAGACTAAATTGAATCAAAATATACTAAAATAATATTAAAATAAACTACATATAGACAGATTCAAAACTACAAAAGAACAAAGCAGTACAATGAGAGTTTTGAAATAACTTTACATTCTTGTCCATACATTGACAAAGATTTTTCAAAGGAACAGGGTCAACTTGTGTTTTCATCTTTTGTTGAATGAATAAATAAATTACTTCCACGATCGATGGCCTTCCAATCGGAGCCTGGTGCGCGGCCGACTCTCGCCGCTGCGTCCGTCTCCGCCCACCTCTGGATCCGCTCTGATGAACGCTCGGGCCACAGTCACATAACCCCAGCTCCGGGTCCAGCCCACTTCCATCCACGCAGCAGCTCAAAGATGATGGAGGAGACTGATTACGAGAGCTTTGGAACGCGCCAAAACAACGAGCGGGTGACCTCCAAAGTGGAAGAGACATTTTGGCAGACATTTTGGAAAATTCAAATCAAATGTAGTCTCGGAAGCTGTGCCAACGTCGTTATTTTTCTCCAGCTGAAAAAGAAAAAGTCGCCCACTCAAGTTGATGTGATTGTGGCCGTAATGCGATTTCAGGCCTCGTTTGATCGCGGTGCTGTTGGCTTTGATTGACTGCGCACAAAACAAAAGCGGGAAGTGGTCTTGACTTTAAATGATGTCTCAATTTTGGAGGTTAATTACAATTACTTTCAATAACTTTCAAACTACATCCAAAGAACTGTAAAATAGAATCCATACCACTAGTTCCTCTGGTTCTGAAACAAGTCTATCTGTCTGAGTCTGGGCCAGTCTTTTTACTTTCGAGAAATGTTTGTGCAGCAACTGGACTCCTGCTGGGGCCTAGAGTCAGAACTATACATGGGGAGGCAGCGTTTTGGATTCACGCAGCTAACACTTTGAACAGTCTTCCTGAAAATGTGAGACAGGCTTCTTCCCTGACAATGTACAAATCCAGGTTAAAAACACTTCTGCTTAGCTATGCGTACAACGAAGGGATTTTATCTTCACACTTTTTGACGTGATGTGAATATTTATGATCAGCACTTTGAGTTGCCTTGTGTATGAATTGTGCAATACAAATAAACTTGCCTTCCTCTCTGCCTTGTCCCCTTGTCCCTGTGCTCTGGTTGGTACTTGGCGACACTACTCTTGCAGTTCATTCTTGCAGTATTACTCTATAGCTCTCTCGCTTCTCAGCAATAAGGCCCTCGGTTTCGAAACCCGGTCGGAACAGGGCCTTTCTGAGTGGAGTTTGCATGTTCTCTCTGTGTCTGCGAACAATTCTTCTAGTTCCTGACCAAGACGAGTATCAACATATGGAGAGGGGTCCTTGGGCGCATTGTGTAAAGTCAAGTAATTGTTGCTTTTGTCAAAAAATCTCAAGAAGTAGAATTTGCACATCTATTGCTGGAGCAGGTGCGTAGGAGAGGGGGGGAGGGAACAATTGGCCTGATGAAGGTCTCAGGACTGAAACATATGGGAATGCAGTGTGCGGGAATCAAAAAATGTCAAAAAATCTTCTTTTGTTACAGCGTTTACCTGTACAAGCTGGAGCCCCAGGCCCACACTGCTAAAAGTGATAAAAAATGAGGTAGTATTTGCTTGATTTGCTTGGTTTTTATTAGTTTGAGTACATTCTGACAGTCATTAAACAAGATTTGCCAATGGGACAAAGCCATGTAGTCTTTGGGGCGACAGTGGCTCAGTTGGTAGAGCATTGGCCTATGAGCTAGAAGGTCGTGGGTTTGAGTCCACCGCAAGACCTAGATAAAGATAAACGAACATATGGATAAGCAAGATGGCGCCGGGTCAGGGCGCCTCAGTAAGAGCTCTGGTGTGCACTGTCTGTTCTATGTTGTTTATATTCGTCTGTGATACACTTGCCACCGTGAAGTACGACCGAGAGACACTTCTCTACATTCGGGACCGAGCTTGCGGAGTATCGCAGGTCTTACCCAAACTGAGGTGCTTGGACTTCATTGAGTGCCCCACTCGTGAGGCCCGTCAAACATGGCAGGCGGGCCGCGGCAATGGACGCGAACAGAGCGGGGGGACTGGGCGTCTCCACCGTGCTCTCCGCGGTGTGGAGCTGGGTACCGGGAGCCGACGAAGGAGGCGCAGACACCGGGGTAAACGAGGCGGTCTGCTCGTGAGATGCCGCTCCTGCAGGACCGCTCTGCCCTCGATCTACCTGGCGAATGTACAGTCTCTGGCCAATAAGACGGACGAGCTCCTGTGTCGTATCCAGAGCCAGCGAGAGGCCCGAGACTGCGCTGTGTTCTGTCTCAGCGAGACGTGGCTCCACACGAACGTCCCGGACTCTGCTGTTCAGCCCCCGGGATTCACCGTTCACCGCACGGACAGAGATAAGGAGACCACGGGGAAATCCAGAGGTGGAGGATTTCTCCTTCTTCCCTCATACACTCAGAGGAGCAGGGAACATAAACCAACCTCTCGCACTGTGCAGTGTTGGTCCGAGGAGGCTAGCATGAAGCTACAAGGGTGTTTTGATGCTACGGACTGGTCTGTGTTTCAGTCAGAGGATGTTAATGAATTCTGTGACGCTGTGACTGGATACATACGCTTCTGTATTGACTGCTGTGTCCCACAGAAGGTCATTAAAGTACATCTCAGTCAAAACCCTTGGATGAACGCGGAAGTGAAACAAAAACTTCATGAGCGTGCTCTGGCATTTCAATCTAACGATACAGTTGCCTATAAGCTATCCTGTTACGCATTGAAACGCTCTATTAAATCTGCAAAGCGCAGTTACGGAGACAGGTTAAAGGGTTATTTCAAGGAAGATGACCCTCGGCGCATGTGGAGCGGTATTAAAGCCATCACGTCCTGGAAACCTAGTGCTGGGAATATCGGATCTGTTGGCCCAGCTCTGTCTAATGAGCTGAACTCGTTCTACTGCCGCTTCGAATCTGCTGATGGCTGTCCTACTGTCTTTCCTGATTGTCTCAATCAAGGTGCGTTCACCGTGACTCAGGAGGCAGTCCAGCGGGTCTTGTCCAGCACCATTGTCCGGAAAGCCCCTGGCCCGGACGGCATCCCACCCCGTGTCCTGAAACTGTGCTCTGAGCAACTTGCCCCTGTTTTAACAGACATTTTTAACCTGTCGCTAAGGAACTGTACTGTGCCGAACTGCTTCAAAGAGTCGACCATTATCCCAGTTCCTAAGAAAACTCCTGTGACATGCCTTAATGACTATCGTCCTGTGGCCCTCACTTCTGTCCTAATGAAGACTTTTGAGCGGCTTGTGTTGGACTTCATTAAGAGCCAGATCCCTGTGAGTGTTGACCCGCTCCAGTTTGCTTACAGACAGAACAGGAGTGTGGAGGATGCATCTCCTTTGCTCTGAACTCTGTCTACAGTCACTTGGACAATAGGAAATCTGTTGCAAGAATGCTGTTCATTGATTATAGCTCTGCTTTTAATTGTCTTGTCCCAGGTAAACTGATCGAAAAACTCATGTCTCTCGGCTTAAGTGTTGCCATGTGTAAATGGATCTACAGCTTTTTAACAGACAGATCTCAGAGAGTGAAAATCAATGACTGTTTTTCAGATGCTGTTTCTGTGAGCACTGGTTCTCCTCAGGGATGTATTTTGAGTCCTTTACTTTTTACACTGTACACTCATGATTGTGTGTCTTCCTCAGACTCTAACCTGATCCTTAAATATGCTGATGACACCACCATCATCGGTCTCATCAGCAATAACGATGAATCGTCTTATAGAGCCGAGATCCAAAACGTGGTTCAGTGGAGTAAGGCTAACAACCTCCAGCTGAACGCATCCAAAACATGTGAACTGGTCTTTGATTTTAGCCGCAATAGTTCTCATTTGCCTGTCGCAATCGATAACTCCCAAGTGCAGATTGTAGAGGAGTGTAAGTTTCTGGGTCTAACTCTGTCTAATGACCTGAAATGGGTTAAAAACACTGACCGGGTCGTAAAGAAAGCTCGCCAGCGTCTCTACTTCCTGCGGAAACTTAGAGAATTTACCACTAACTCTAAGATTCTGCTGAACTTTTATCGCTGCACCATTGAGAGTTTACTTGTTGGTTCTGTGTCTGTGTGGTTCGGTAACATCACAGATAAAGAAAAGAGAGCTTTAAACAAGGTGCTCCGCTCTGCAAAGAGGACTGTAGGCTGTGAACTTCCTGTTCTGGAGGTTTTTTATCAATCCAGACTTTTTGACAGTGCCCTGAGAATTATCAATGACTCTTCTGGCCACCCAGGAAAAGCCTTGTTCCAGCTTCTTCCCTCTGGCAGAAGATATTATTCTCTGAGATGCAGGACATCTCGTTATGCTAATAGTTTTTTTCCACGAGCTGTTAGCAGTTTGAATAGAGCACTTTAATGTTTTTGCACATTAAAGTTGGTCAACTTCACAGTGACATTTGTTTACTGTTTTTAAAATGTGTTTTATTTTTGTCTTTTAATGTTGTTTTATGTCTGTACTTGTCCTGTGCACACTGGGAACTTTTACTAATGTATTCCAATGTAGTGTTACTGCAAATGGCGAATAAATGAATCTGAATCTGAATCTGAAGACCTTCTCCACTGACTCCATTGATGTCTGCTGTCGATGTGTCCTTGGGCAATACACTTAAACCGCTTTGCCTACGAGGAGCACAGAGGTAATGTTTGCTGAATGCTGTATTCATCACATTGAAATTTCCCCGCTTGAGGTTCATTATAATAGCCTGGCCTTAGCCTTCCGTACACTCCGCTCAATCATCATTTCACTGCATGTAACGTCTGGGTCTGGTCCCTGTGATTGCGATTACAATCGGTTGACTTCCATCCGACCAATCAGCGAGTGTGGGATGAGGGTGTTGTTTAGATGTGGGTGACGTCAAGAGTTTGCGTCGAACGGGCAGGTTGTAGTTTGGCAATGGCAAAGACTGCGATAGTAAAGTATTCCGGTCTGGTTCTAACAAAGATATTGAAGCATCTTGCTAAATGCAAAATGCTAACGACTCACCCGGGTGCATTAAATACGTGACGGTAAACTCAGATCATATCGTTTCAATCTGCAAAAGGAGTTAACCCCACCCAACTGTTAACTCATTTACTGCCATTAACGTATTTGTCTGAGACTGGTGATTTCTGTCAAACTTCCCTCTATTCGACTGGGGATTACAGGACAACAAAATTAGCAAGAAACAAACTTTTTTTTGCTGATGAAAGTAAACAGTCGAGTCCTTCATGATCTGGTTACATATTTTTACGTAGTCATAGCACATAATATTCTGTGGGTCTTGAGAATCAGTGAAATCATCAAAAGCGGCTAGCAGTCAATGAGTTAACAGAGCTCAATGGAGCACCTCAAGACTTTAGTACGAAATGTATTTGACCTGGCTAACATTTTACCAAAGTTGAGCCTTTTTTCAAACTTGTTTTTCATCACTTTTTTGTAGTCTGTAGCGCGTACACAGGTGGGTTCACAGTTCACTCGGCACATTATTCATCAACTTTCTTTTGATTCATGGATGTGTTTAAGCTGTTTCACTCTAATTTATGCTTTCCTATAGACGCAGCAGAGGCCCACCTACAGTTTCCACAGAGCTGCTACCTCCCAGGGCCCAACCGCCTCCTATT